AACACAAAGGTTTAGTTTTCTTCTATTTACTATCTGTCGACCCACAGGTCGGTTGTGCAAGTAGGGGTACAGAAGCAGAAAGCTTATTGTTAGAATGTTATGTTCCCATGGGTGATAGCCAAGCAGTAATTTTCCAGCCAGCACAATACAAGCACAAAACTTACAGAATAGATTTTAGTTTGAACTCTGGCTCTTTCACTGATGAGCTCATGTGCGCAAAGACAAAGCACTTAAATGTTCTGAGTCTCAGTTTCCACATTAGTAAAGTGGGTATGATACTATCTACCTTATCTTTTAGGGCGACTAAGAGGAAAATCCAAGACATGTAAAGATCTTCAGAAATATATAATAGATGAATGCTTTTTTTTTTTATTACTGAAGATAATTTATTCTTTCTAAAATACTTATTTTTTTCTTCCTTGGTGTGTTATAGGGTTCTGATTTAAAATTCCGCATTGTCTCAACTGTTCTACCTTGTGCCAAAGTTTTAGTGAGGGAACAGTGGGCCACAATGGTGAGAGCAGCAGGCAGATTGAGAGACCCTCAAGAACAATAATGAAACTCAAATGGACAAAATTAATACCTCCACACTTTACAATTCTGCTCTAGTGTTTGGTTTAGTAAGAAACCATTCCCTGATACTTAGAGGGAGAATCTGGAACCATCTTAAGCAATGCAGTTATCTTTGGCCTCCTGGCCACCCTTGATGGGTCAAAGGCCTAGAAATAAATCAAAAGATAAAAAGAGGCATAGGAAGAGCAAATTCTGCAGGTTATTTCAATGTGACACCTCCCAACTCCAAGGGAGCTACCTTTAATGGGCTGGAAATGTGAAAATGCCCAACTCTTACACACAGACACTCTACCCACCAGTTATTGCTCCACCTCTGAACTTATTACACATTCTCTCTCCCCATTTCATTTGCCATTTAATTATGTGCTGCCCCATGACACCAATGTGCTACTCCGTAATTATGATCATGTTATTTCAGTGCCATGTGGCTTTATTGTAATTTAACTTTTCAGACATTTTTCTTTTATGTTGGGCACTGATAAGAATGGAATAGTTCCATGACAAAACAGATTTACAGATTTACTCAGCTAGTGATAATTTAATGTCAAGATGTTATAGAACTATCTACCAGTAAAAAAAAAAGTGTTCAGTGAAATCAGACTTAATGATTAATTGGACTTTTCAGATTAAAAAAAAAATCAAGCAACACATCAGACTTTATATACAAATATTAGTAAGTAGGTGAATCCTTATTACCTAACGTACATTATTTATTCTCTTAAGCATTACAACTTTGTCAATACAGGATTGGCTGAAAGATATTGAAACAGGTCTTGCTTTCTAGAAGCTAGTATTTTAGTTGAAAATACATACACACACACTTGATGGGGAGGCTTTATCTCTTTTATTTACTCCCATATTCCTAATGCCTAGAACAGTTCCTAGCACATAGTAGGAAAATGTGCACTCAAATAGTTCTTGATTGCTTACTACATGCCAGATAGTGTTCTAGGCACTAAGGATACCATGCTGAATAAAACAGAAATCTGTGCTTTCATGGAGTTTATATTGTACAGGTGGGAGACAGAAAAAAAAAAAGAAATATATAAATTAATACATATTTAGTATATTAGATGAGATAAGAATCAGAAGGAGAAGATTTGGGAGAAAAATCGAGAGTTGGGTGTTGTACCATGGTACGTTTCAGATTCCTATTAGTCATCCAAGTGAGGGTGTTAAGCAGGTTGCTGGATAAGTGTCTGGAATTCAGAAATATTCAGACCAGAGATATAAATTTGGGAGTCATTAGCAAATCATTAGATTTAAAAACATGAGACTGGATTAGATTACAGGTGCTTGATAAATATTTGATAGGTAACAAATAAATATGCGTTATCTCTTCTGTTAGAACACATTTTCTATAAAATTAGCTTACATGCAATTGCAAATAGGGGAACTACATCAACATAATGTAGAAGTTGTGTTGGAGTTAATAATTATAACCATCATCATGAGAGTAAAAAAGAATGAATTTAGCTGTTGCAGAGTCAGGAGCCTTTTAGCTTTATTTTCAGAAAATTAAAAGTGAGGGTCTGCACCCAGGGCTTCCTCCCCAAGAAGTACATCTTCAGCCTTGCATGGTTCTTGCTTCCTGCAGATTGCATTTCCTCCTCTGCCCACCTTAACGGTAGCCTCACTGTCTTAGAGCTTTGCTTCCATGTGCATTGTCTCAGCTCTGTTGATCCAGAATTTCTTCTTTATTGGTTTCTTGCATTTTTAATATTCTCTAAGATAGCCTCTAGCCATACCAAACTGTGTGTCTGAACCGTTCAAGTTATTGCCTAAGATACACTGCTAATGCTCTGCTAATAAAGTTGCATAAATTTTGAGTGATCTGCTCCTAACTATTTTTTTTTCTATAAGTCTTGTTAATTTTAGTGTGTTATTTTGCAAAATGAAAGATTTTTTGGGGGAAATCCTTGCATACATGTAGTTGGCATGTTACTTTTGTCGACAACTTCCCTAGCATCTTTTCCTTTAGGAACTAACTGTACCTTCCTCATCAGGTGAGACTATCAATCTATCAATCACATCTCCCCAAAACAAACAAACAGGGATGGGCACATGACCCAAGATAGCCAATCAGAATATACTACTTACCTAGCTATGGTGATTGTTTCAGGGATGGACAGACACATGATCCAAGTGGAATTTATCCCTGGAGCTTTGCTGGAGCTACGTGGAATGAGAACTCTCTTAATTTTGGATTTCTTAGACACTATCCGCCTAAAGAATAATGTCATCACAAGAGAAAAGAGACACAAATTAAGAATCCAAAGTAAATTATTCATGTTCTGTGCACTTCTCCCATTATTTTCCTGGAAACTCCATCTTTTTATAAGACTCAGTTCAATTGTTAATTTATGGTGAAATGTTTCACTATCATTCCCACCTCCTTCATGGAGTGCTATGAGCTCCCTTCTTATTCCTACAGCACCTTGTGCACTTCCTTACAACAGCATTGTTACATACTTTGTTTATTGTCTGCTCCTCCTCTTCCCCTATCCCTTGGTATATTCTTGATGGTAGTGACTTTGCCTTATTGATCTCTATAAACACAGGATCTAACACAATGCTTAGCACATAGTGGATGCACAGTAAATGTGAGTTGAATGAATGGATGATGATATAATTTCTAGTAATACTTATGGTTGATCACCTTTCAAGAAAAGACACATTGTCTTGGATAGATATACACACACATTCTGAGGAATGTAGGATTTTTGGTAGATAAGAATTTTGATCTGAGTACCTACCAGCTTAAAAAAGCAGCAAAAGCACTTCATTGAGGTTAGACTTGAAAATAAGATAGGAAGGGAGAATGCAGAGTAGGGGAGGCTTTAGAAAAAGAGAAGAAATAAAGTTGGAAAAGAAACATGACCTTATAGACTTAGAGAGTAGAGATAGAAAACTGAGGGATGATATTCAGGAAAGTAGATATAGATAAGGAAGAAAAGCAAAGGAAAACGGATAAGAAAGATGAAAAGTATAGAGGCGGAGGTGGAAGGCAGGAGTAGGAAGGTTCTGGATGTTAGACCTTGCAGCTTTCAATTAAGATTAATTTTCCACTGGGTGTCAGGGCTCGTTCTGGGTTCTTCGGACATTGAAATGAATGTCATAGTTCCTGCTCATCCTGGGGGAGATCTAGGTTTATAATGGTGGTCAAGAAGCAATGGGATGATGAGGGATGTGTGTTGGGATGAGATTGCCTACATTTCTGAATAGGCAGTAACCTTCCATTACTTACTCAAGTTGTAGCAAGTATGGCAGCTGAAATGCTGTCCTCAAGTTGGGAAAATACTCTACTCTCGCCCCATTTTTATTTATTTCTCCCTGAACTCTATAATCCCTCACTTCTGCTAAGTCTAGTGGGATTCTTATTGTACATACTCTTCCTGCCAGTTGGTATGATAGAGACAGGACTGTGGTCTCATCACTCCCCTCCCCGCCCTCCAGCAGAATAAGATAACCTCTACCAGAAAAAATGTTAGGCCCCAAGGCGGAATTCCCAATCCTTATTTGCTGGAGATATTTCTTCTAGAAATCCTGGCACCCTACAGTGCCTCAATTGTCCTAATAAAGCTTGGTTTAGGGCCTCAGCTGCTCTTCTTAACCCGTCAGAATAAGAGGGTGCCACTTGGCACCAGGGGCCCATCATCCCCACTGCATTTTTTTCGGACTCTGGAGGATCTGAGAGGGGGTAGGTTCACAGCCACCTCTGCGAAGAAGAGGACTCTAAGCAGGTAGGAGTAATTTGTGCATTTGCTGTGGTGGGCAATAGGGTTACTCTGGCCATAAACACCGACTGTGGGAGGATCTGGGTGTTGCCAAACCCAGCTGGCAGGTGTAAAGTGTGTCAAATTGGCAGCCTGGAGGGGTAAGGAGTCCCTGCAAGGTTTGGGTCTGACAAGAGCGGAGACCTATGGTAAAGGATACACCTGGGATCTTGAAGAGCCAGTTGTACCTGTCTCTGGGCTTGGTGGGTTCTGAAGCCACCAAAAGGGGGCGATCGAAAGTGGCGGATTTGGGGGGCAGTGCATCCTGGAGCCCACTGGCACGGCCGGAGGGAGGGCCTTGGTCATACCGTGTCCAAATGGCATGTGGAAGGTGCGTTGAGCTTAGATGGGTAGCCCAGAGGCAGCGGGTCCTGGGGTGGCGAGGAGCGGGGGCGCAGAGGAGAGGCGAGATCCACGACGGAGGCTCTGGTCCTGCGGTGACCGGCGGTTATCTGGAGAGGCTGGTGATGCCTGGAGTGGGTCTGGCTGGGTGGGCTCTGGCGCCGCCGCTTGGGGGCGTCGGGCAGAGAACCCGGTTGATTAGGGCGGCTGGAGACCGCCTCCCAACGCGCGGCCCCCGTACCTGCGCGGGGCGGGGAGGGAGAGGGGCGCATGGCGCGAGAGGCGGGCACGGAGCGCGTGAGTCACTCTGCTCCTCCGGGTTAGGAGCGGGACTTCGCCTCTCGCACTGGTCCTCATTTCATCTCCAGCTTCAACGACTCTCCCACGAATATTGTCCCCCTCCGGAGGCTTGGACCAACCGCTTTCCCGTCTAGGTAAGTTTCTTGTCTTTTGATGCCTCGTGCATTGGTGACTCGGCGGGAGGGGATCTCCCAGTCTGTATATCTGTCTGCCTTTGCTTCCTCCCTTTGGTTCTCTCCATTGGAGACAGAAAGTTAGATTTTTAAAACGCAACGGAGAATATCAAATCCATGCTCATACCCCAAACAAGGCAAACTCTGGGGCCATATTCTTAATTTCCCGGGTACCTTCAAATGTCCGGATGTGGCGTTTATGGGGCTAGGAATGTTTGATTTGTTTGGTGGGTTTCCTTCCTCCCCCACTTTCTTCCTAGGTGATTCTTAGAGGTTGGCGGTGCGTGGAGTGGGGCGGGGGGATGGGGTAGAACCCTTTGCCAGGGCGGTGTCCTCATTCTCGGCAAGGTGGCAGATATTTTACTGTAGCTTGAGTTGGTATCTTGGAACAACCCTCCCCAGCCCAGGACATGCCAGGGCTGCCTATCTTGTTACCATTGGCTGAATCAAAATGTTCCAGAGGCACAATTAATGTGAATGCCACGATAATGTTGAAACAATTCATTGAACTGTTGAATATTTTATTTTTAATGTATTCCAGGAAAATTTTAGGAGATTACTGCTAGTCTTATTTTCTCTATTTTCAGAGATGCTTCCAAACCTATTATTTCCCTTGCAAGAAAATCAATGAGGACTTATTCTGTTTCTTAAAAGGATTTAATAATGTAAAGCTACATGTTTTCCTTTTCCTCTACGTGTCTGTTGCGCTTCCACTAACTGCCTTTTGAAAAATCAATGCGGGGAAGATGAGTCCCCATTTCTACCGTTAAGCACAGTGTTTCTGTAACTATTAAATAGGTACTGATTATTGCTGTCGTTTCTGCTTAAAAGTAGCATAGGAGAGAGCCTCCTAGAATGCATGCATTTGTGGCTAATGTTGACTGATTGCTTTATCATCAATATTGTTTGGTTTGCTGCAGTGTTAACAGGTGGTCTTTATTCGCAGCACAGAATTCTTTTGCTCTAGGCAAGCATCCCTGCTGATATGGAGGACAGTATTCCTCCCCTTCCCCCACAAAACCAAATCTTTATCCTGTTTTGTGGGAGAGAGGAAGATGGGTGGGGGAAGCTTTCCTGGCAGTTGATTGAGTCGCCTATCATAAATTGCTCTTTCCTGAATTGTTATTTGGTTTATAGTCTGTGATTATAGAAAACCCCTCCACTGGGAAGATTAATAAAATCTTACATGTTTATTCAGATCACAGAGATAACTTTTTAGAGTTGAACTGAAGCTTTGATGGTTCTCTTTTCTTTTTTTTTTTTTTTTACAGCTCTTTCCAGGGAGCACCCTAAAGTGAGTTAGGTTTCCCACCTGGTAACATGACATCTCTCATCTGCATAATCTTGGTGCTTATCATCTTGTTTTACATAGCAGTCTTGCTCAAGATAGTAAAATTTCTTGAAAGGCGGAAATACTGTGTTACTCATCTTTGTGTCTCATGAGCCTACTAAAGTGGGTCTGTTGAATGAATAGATAAATGAATTCAGCAGTCCAGATGGTCTTAGCATTTCTTTAACACCACCTGGGCATGCTTTTTCTGCACTGCTAGAAGATAGTCCTTATAATTCAGTGACTCTCAAGGTGTAGATCCTCAGACCACTCTGTTGTAACTAAATTAGAGTTTGACATATATGGAAAATATCTATATGTTGTGATTTTTTTTTTTTTTTGCTGCATGTAACAGAAGCCAACTAAATATGGCTTTAACAGAGAACATTGACAGCAGGTGAGCACTGGAGTTGTTGGTTCAGTGGCCCAGCAATGTCAGGGTTCTGAGTCAGTACCTTGCTCTCATGGTTTTGAGATGGCTCTAACAGCTCCAGGCATTACATTCTTATCTCATGTTCAAAGGTAAGAAATAGGGGATGGAAAGAGGTAGAATAATTTTCCTCATGCCACTTTCTCTTACCAGAGAAGAAATATCTTTTCCCAGAGTTACCCAACAGAATCTCCATTGTATCTCATTGGCCAGAGGTGGGTGGGCTTCGTAACAGTCCTTAGTGGCAAGGGAGGCTGGGAAAATATCAAGCTTTTCAGCTTCTATAGTAGAAAGGAGGCCAGGAAGATGGGGGTTGGAGATAGCTTTGGGGAGCTAACCAGCAAGTCTGCTTGACTGTCATGAAAATGGTTCTATTTTAAACTGTGATTGTATTAATGATTGGTCCAAGCAAAAAATTAAATATAATCATTGTAGCAAAAGCGCATTCAGAACAGGGATTTTCCCTCTAAGGTGTACAGTATTTTAAGGATGCTAAATAATCGTTTTTGTAGTGTGTTAACTTTTAGAGACTACAGGTAGGAAAAAATGTATAGATATAGCTCATAGGGTTTCCATTGTATTAAATATGGGTCAGATCCTCCAGTTTCTGGAACAGAGTAAACATTCAGTAAGTAGTTGTCCTGTGAGTAGGCTACAGGCAGACCTTGGATATATTGCTGGTTTGGTTCCAGACCACTGAAATAAAGCGAATATCACAATAAAGTGAGTCATAATCATTTTGCTCGTAGAGGGTCTTGTAAAAAAAAAAAAAACCCTTCAATTTGTTAAAAAACAAAACAAAACACGATATCTGTGAATTGCAGTAAAGTGAAGCACAATAAAATGAGGTGTGCCTGTATAGACTTTGGGAGCTTCACAACTTCACAAGGACAAGTGAAAGTGTTTAGCAGGAAAAAAACTAATTAGTGGTTTGGCACCTATGCCCTGAAATGCTGGTTTACACAATATTAGAGTTCTTAATTTGGATCCAGGAACCTGGAGGACAACTTAACAGGAAGGACAAGAAGAACATAAAGAGAGGTAGTGAGTAATGACAGTTTACGGCAACTGATTTTCTTTGGGTGCTTTCTCTATCCATGTACTGTGGAAGATGTACTACAAAAAATGTTCAAGATGATATCTAGTACACACATGCAAAGTTGATGCATGAAACGAAGAGAGCATATATTACTGCCAGCTTTCTTGAGTCTCCTTCCTAATAGGAATCCTGAAGTACTACAGAACGTTTGGGGCCATAATGATGGAAGATCAGCTAAGCAAGTATTGAGAGACTGGAATTTAACAATCGCAGGACCCTGGGTCTTAGATTTCCCACCAGTCAAAAGAATGATGTAGGCTATCAGTGGTCCTCAAACTTTGTTGCACTTTGCAAATCACCTGGAAAGCTTATACAAATCCGGATGTATGGGTTGGTCCTCAGACTAAAATTGGATGGAATCTCTGGGAATGGACCCAGGTAACAAGATTTTTAAAACTCCCCAGATGATTCCAATATGCACTTGAGTTTGAGAACTATTAGTTTGCTCGGGCTGCCATAACAAAGTACCACAGACTAAGAGACTCATATAACAAAAAATAATTTTTCTCACAGTTCTGGATGCTGGAAGTCCAAGATCAGTGTGTTGGCAGGGTTGGCTTCTTCTGAAGCCTCTTTCCTTGGCTTATACATGGCTGCCTTCTCTCTATTTTCACACGGTCTCCCTTCTGTGCGTGTCTGTGTCCTAATTTTGTCTTATTAGGGCCTAGCCATATGACCTAGTTTTTCCTTACCACTTTAAAAGTCCCATCTCCAAATATAGCCAAATTCTGAAGTACTAGGGGTTAGAATTTCAACATGAATTTGGGGAGGGGGCATAATTCAGCCTGTAACAGGAACCATTGCATAAGTGCAGCACTTCTCGAACTTTAATGTGCATACAAGTCACCTGAAGACCTTTTCATAGTTCAGATTCAATTCAGTAAGTCTAGATGGGGCCTGAAGTTCTGCACTTCTAATTCCAAGTAATACCAGTGCTGCTAATCCAGAGATACTTTAAGTAGAATGGTTCTGTCTAGATTAGTGGTTCTGAAGCTCTTGCAGGCATTAGAATCACCTGGAGAGCTTGTTACAAACATTGCTGGGTCCTGGCCTCTGAATTCCAATGGGTTTGGGGTAGGGCCCAAGAATTTGCATTTCTAACAGGTTCCCAGGTGATAGTGATGCTGTTTGCCTATGGACCATACTTTGTGAACCACATATCTCTGGTTATTTTGAGACTTTATGATATTGGGGGAGTCTAGCTCATTACATACATCAATGTATGTGAAATTTATCTGCAGTATTTTCTATCATAATTGCTGATTGTGTTGCATTTTTTCTTTTGCCAAGCCTAATTATTTTTTCCGATCATAGGACAAAGGATGAGGAAATGGGAGAAAATGCTTCATTGAAGTTTCTCTTAATTTCTTGCACAAATTGTGGTGAATGAATATGGAGCCTACACGTCAGCCCATTTGTTTCTATTCATGTGCCTTCTCTGACTGCAGAGCTAAATTTCAGCTTGCTTTTATATCAGTTCAAAGATGATTTTAAGAGACCAGTTGCTTGCTTCCTATATGTGAATTTTTTGAAGGATTAACTATTCTAGAGATTGTACAATCTCCAGAGGCATTACAAAATTCTCAAAACATTAAATTACTTCTAATTTAATTATATTTTTATTTCTATATGAGAGCAACAGAGAGCTACATCAGTTTCTCTTCTCCAAAATCATTGGAGATGGGAAAATGGTTGGCCTGCTATTTGAGAGTTAAATTAGTAAAATTCATGTTCCGTGGATGTTATTACTCTTGTGGGAGTAAAACGAGACGATCTATAAATGTGAGACTAAATGGTTTAGAATTATCCAAAACTTTACACTACTGAACTGGGTATAATCTCAAGAATGTGATTGTATTTTATAAAGAAGAAATCTGTCAAGAAGAATAATAGCTATTTTTCTAGGTTGACTGTGGTATGCTGGTCACTGTACCCATAGTACCTCATTTAATCCTTGTAACCTATAATATATCAGATGCGTGTATGTCAGTTATCTATTCTCATAATAATGCTATATAACAACCTGTCACAAAACCTCAGAAGCATATGACAAGACACATTTATCGCTCATGTGTCTAGGGTCAGCTGAGGGTTGGCTAGAC